TACTTCGAGCCATTGGAGGAAAACAAATAACAAGGTATGGAATGATTGGAAAAAAGCCTCTACACATACAACATACATGGAGTACAAAGTATATTCCTTCAGATAAACCCTACTACAAACGGACATATCAGAGTGACATACCTTGATGCAGCACAATAAAATCTCCTTGAAATCCCCTTAACCCTTGGAATTCTAGTCAAGATGATTGGACCTAAATTATCCAACATCGAGGAAAGACGGGAAGGTGGCCACTTAGAACCTAGAGAGGGGCAAATAGAAGCAAAAAGAAGGGGAAGAAAATCCACTCTACTCCGTAGTGTGCGCCTAAGCATCCTTGACGCCCCCTCCGTAATGAGGGACAAAAAAAACGTGTTCGTATAGGTGGGGGGTTCGGGATTCCGTACGGCACGAATCAACGCGACGAAATGTACCTGTAGATCGGCGGGTACTTGGGTTTTTGACCGTCATACGAAGTACGGAGTACGGAGTAGCGTTCTTTGGGAAGCCAAAAAGATAAAAAAAAAGCAATTTCAAGGTTTATTACGATGTGCGCGGATGTCTCATAAACAAAGTATGTAACACTAATACCAATAGTTTGATATAAGTGTCATGGTCTGATATTGATTTGTGTCTCAGTTGCCCCGATGACCACGTTTTTTTCCCTCTTATTTAGCGGGAACCATAGTAGAACCAATATAATTGTGAACCAATACGGAGTATATATGTTGTAATAATTTAGACCTTAAATACTTTATGTTGGGTAAATACACTAATACCAATCTTAAACACGGTTCTTATCGACTTTTAGATTACGACCCAAAAGCATGTCACACGCACCCCACCTCATGGGCTTCGGTGAAGAGGGTGTACGGGGTTACAAGTAGACCTCTGGTAGTTACACTTGTGTTCACGAGAGATGTACTAGATACGGGATCAGGCCTGAGCGTAGAACTGTTCCCCTAGGGCTAAAAGTCATCTGACAACGGGATCTAGGAACGCATCTGGTTTGATAGAGGGGGTGAGTTGGCTGTCATCAACCGCATAAGCACCAGAGCCAAGCGGGGCAAGAATAGATTGTGTATGTACTTCGTATGATATCTTTTCCCTTAAATCACATTTTGTGTTAAGTTTGATGGGGCTAACTCGGCACAAGGAAACCGATGAGAGCGGAAGACTAGTACACATCCCCGGACCTTGAAAAGTGACGTCGGCAATTTTTGATGATTTAAGTGCCTACTCCCGTACTCCGTACAACTTACGGTATATTGCCGGGACCGGGGAGTATTGCACTGAAAACGATTTGAGATCGGCACTTATGATGGCACTTAGTTTCACCTCCTTTTTGATGAGAGATCTATCGAATAGTAAGGAAGCATGTTAGAATCCACGGTAATGAATGATCGTCTGTAGCCCAAGCGTTGGGCGCACATTGGTTGTGAGAGAGTGGGCTAAGGACGGGAGATGGTGAGTGGTCGCGGGATATTACGACAGGCGTTAGGTGCGGAGCCCAAAAAAAAAATGCTGTTGTGCCACTGAACTTTCCTGCGAGGTGAGTTAGTCAGGTAGTTTCCCCGAGTATTCTCAACTGTGAATCTACTCTGTACGGTTTTTTTTTTGTTTTTTGTTTTGTTTATTTATTTTTTTGGTGGCGGTGGAGGCGGCTAACGAGGGGCGAACGGGGATTTTATTGTCGGATGTGTTTTCCTGCCTTCCAATAACAGTGTACGGAGTACCATTTTTATATTGGAAATAGAACAATTTATTAGGACATCCTTGTTTGAGCTTTAAGGATGTACGGAGTACTCTGTACGGGTATTGGTACTCCTTTGTCCCTCGGTCGATCTTGCCCAAGGGCGGGCTGTATTTACCCCTTGGAATTCTCTTCACCGCACCGAGGAGGTGTATACACCGCAAAGATTGCGTAGAAGTATATGAAGTAGGTAGTATTCCTCATATATATACGGAGTACTTTATATCACTACGATGTACTTTGTATAATCCTGGGAATTACGTTGTAGGGGCCAATGATATCCATGGCGTCATTTGCCTCTGAGGCTCGATCGACATTGCATGCCCCTCCCCTGAAGGACGGGGGTATGGCCACATGTGCAATATTGTATAATTACATTATAAATACTGTATATAGTAGACAATATAAGATTGAATTTGATTTTTATAATTCCCCCAGGTTACTGGACGGGATAGCTAGGTAAGTTGTAAGCGAACTACTCCGTATAATGCAGGAAGACCCAAGTTCCCGGAGCCAGGTGACTATGAAATATAAAGAAGAAAAAAAAGAAAAAAAAAAGCATATAACATACTCCGTACATCGTACAATATACGGAGTACAAGATAGAACAAGATATATTATTTTCACAATACGTGTCAAATCAACACTAGCGGTGGAGGTAGAAGAGCGGAACCAGAAGAAGTATGCCCTACAATTTGTACCGAGTACTTGATCGAACTACGGCGAACTACGGCTCAAATAGGGAACGGCGGTGTATCGGGTACTTTCCGGAAAGGTGTGTGTGTGGAAAGGGGAATCTAAGGAGCCACCCGTTAGTTCCTGAACGCCTCTCATTTCTAGAAATCCCCTCTTTTTTCCTTTTTCTGAATCCTCACCGGGGTTATTGAATTTCTTTTTTTATTTTATATATATTTGAAATTTATATCTATCTACAACATAGACCAAGGTGATTGTTTGAATGTCACATTTAATATATGAATTTGTAATATATACATTTATTAATTCACGATGGAGTACACAGCTAAATAAAGGTGTGTAATACAGAAATCGAGGGAAAATCGAGAAACAAATAGAGAAGAATAAGAAAAGATTCCTCTCGGAGGGATGATCCAAGGGACATGGGTTCCTCCACCCTACTGAAAAGGTGCTAAGATAGACAATTATTATACTGGAGACTCCATAGGTACCCCTTTGTACCACACCCGTACTACTAGAAGTCAGGTCACTTGAATGTACCCCCTCTGCCGTAACGCCGATACCGAAACTCTCTTCCTTTTTCCCCCAAAGCTCTTTTCGGTTTTCTGACTCCTTCTCTCTCTCTTCTATCTGTCTCTTCTCTTTGAACCTATTCCCTACAATTATCTCTAGCCTCGAACCCACCTTCCTTGTGTTACCAACCTCTTTCCGGAGAGAAGGAAGAAAAAAACCTCCCCCCCCTCCCAAACAGACCTTCCCTTTGAACCCACTCCGGTTACCTTTCCCTCCCCTCTTCCCACCAATCTCGAATTGCATTCATCTCAAACCACGCATTTCAAAAATCACTCGCCTAGTCAAGAGTCGGCCAAGGTCGTCTTGAAAATTGCACAATCCTTCTCATCCTTCTCGACTTTTCCTCGACCCGGTAGCTACCTCAAGCGTAACACAGATTTCTCATCTGGGGTACATCGCTAGGGGTAGACCGTGGTCGTTCATACGCCGCCACTTTTTTAACCTCCGGCCTCTTCTCAATCCGCAAACCCCAGTCGTGGGAGCTTGATCATACCGCCATCCTGGACCTCCTTTCGATCCTGCGTGTCGTGAGCAGTAACCCTTATGGCATCAGATACAGAAATGAGTGAAGCCTCTCCTGTTGACACTCTGCCGCAACCAAACGACGGTGGCCACATGCATATGTCATCTCTTTCGTCATCTTCTTCTATATCCGACGCAGAAACTGAGCGTCGGGGCCGATCAGAACGTCCGCGAATGGCGAGCCGCAAACCCAGTGCTTCGATCCTTGTCCCTCGGGACCACCCCGAAATTGAAATTGAGGAGGAAGAGTTTCCCCCAGACGACGCTCGTGCAATGAGCCCACGGCGTAATTCGGCTGATTTGGAGCGTTTGGGCAAGGAGGCCCGACAGACCCTGCAGGAGTGAGTTTACAAAGGCATTCAAAGCGTTTTACAACTGAATTACATCAATTCGAAGATTTCGGTAGCTAACCGTACGAACTAAAAAAAATAGACAAGCAAAGGCTCTCCAATCGTCCCTTCAAGCTCTCGCCGAACGCATCGATGCGGTCAAATCGGACCACGATAAGCTGGAAAATGAGAACAAAATTCTACAAGATTACATCGGTGGTCTCACTCGCAACATGACCAAGAGCGAAATGACCCGCAGTACGAAAGCACGCAAAGCACAAAAATAAACCGGCTTTCCTCCGAACAGATGTCGCAAGGTGGCCGAATACCTCACCCCGTGAACGTCAACCGGGAGGGATCGCCTGTTATTTTGCGGCAGGGAGGGGCGTTTCCATGCGTTTACATACGGTCGCTGGTTTTTACCAAGATTCGAATCACTTTCACTTAATTACGACAAAATCCCTGGTCAACGGACTATTCTTCTCACCACACCTCCAAGCGGTCGCTCCATGAGTTACATGCCCAATGTCAGCATGTCACGGTCTCATCAAACAGCAGGGTTGGGGAATTTCTGGTTACAACAATTTCTCTTTCTGCAAATGGGGTCGGGGCAATCTTACGGTTACCATTTTCTCACACCTCTGCCACCCGACTGGTTCGAGTGGTCACCCTTGAACACACCACATTTCGGGTTAAACGCCACAAAGTCGTCATCTCCACAGTCCCCCTGTTTAACCGGGATCGGCTGGTGAACCCGGGGGGTTGAGGCTGAATCCGAATTATTTACTCAAGGGGGAACCTTCAAAGGATTGTTCGTGACATCATTGCATGCCTGCTTGCATAGTGACCACCTGACTTTCTTGGCATTTGATTTCCCGTCATTACATCATCTTCAAAGTCGGTGTGCAACCTCCTCTACAGTTATCCCATCATCTAACGCAGTGTTCCACTCTGCCTCTCTTCAACCCTGTCGATATTATTGGCCCCTTTTTCTTCTTCTCTTATTCCTCACTCTTTTCATTTGGCGTTTTTGTTTTTATGGCGGTTTTGTGAACTCGTTTCACCTGTACTTTTTCTTGCTTTTTGTTGTCTTTCGATGCATAGCACCTTGGGCGTTTTGGGGACTGGGACTAGACTCGATTTGATTGAATGGCTCTTGTTGGAGCATTGAAATGTTTCTTCGTCATGGGCATTGCATGGTGACGGTCATCGCCACAACAGAACGGCGTGGGAAATGGAAAGCATCTTGGGGTCTTTTGGAGCAGTCCATTTATCTTCTTGTCTTTCCTCACATGCGTTCTCGACATTCGGGGGGCTCTCTGTACATCTGCATTTCGACTTTTTTGTTCCTCTATTTTCTTCTACTGTCTCCACTGGACTGACTTGTGTCACCCCATGGGGAGACAAAGATGCCGCTTTTTTTATCGTTGTTATCATTGTGGCTCTATTTCTGCTTCTTGCTTCTTGCACTTGAAATACCCAGGAGCGTGCATGTCTCAAGTCCTCCATTTTCCCTTTATTGTCCTCATACCCCTTTTTATCGGGCCCCGCGTGGCTGGTAGCATTGTGGTTTCGACCATAGCAATGGAAACTATTTCAATTGAGACTGTCTTTTGTAGATCTGTATAAGACGCATAAAAACATCAAATATCGCAATATCAGAGGCCAGGTAGTTTTAACACAATCAAGAGCGATGCTCGACGAAACCCCATATAATTAACTACTGGGACCTTACAAGGGACAAATGAACAGAGAGTAACTAACTATGGCATGCATACATGTACCCAGTGAAGAAACCGACGATCAATCGCGATATGACACCGGCAGGCGCACATAAGCTCGATAGTGCCCAACTAACAAAGCCACTGATATCATTGCGGCTTCGTCTGCAGTACGCGGGCGTATGCACATGTCTGCACACCCTAGTCGAATATATAGTACCGATTCTCTCTGAAACAATACTAGTTTGTATTGAGGATCTGGTATCTGGTATCTGGTATCTGGTATATCTTTGTGAATTACCTATCCTGTTGGTTCTATAAGAATGTTTATATCCTATAAAGACCTTGCTGTACGCATTGAATGTTTGATTGTGGTATATACTTTCACTTGTATTCTAATTGGGTATGGTCTCTCTATTTCAGACCACTGTGAAATTTAGCCTAAGTAAATAAAGTTTGTATCCATTTTAGGTTGTTTACAGTAAATGATTGAATGAACTCATGCCCACCAATCGGTTTCCCTGACAGTGGCCGTGCTACTAATGGGTATGTAGGGGATGAAGATATCGTGAATAAGTGAGTCATGACGAGCTTATTATGGTAGCTGCTTTCATCTGCACGGCCTCGCTTACTCGAATAAGATAGCGTGCTATCTACTCTGCAGCATCACAGACGATGGACGTAGACTCATACACAGTCATCTATGCTTCAGCTACAATTCGCAAAGAATTACCGGAACAGTGTACGAGGGATTATCTTCGAGACCACATCTAGTGAGAACCAAAACGCCACATGGCACATATACGGGGAGTGATCAATAGGAAAAGTGAAAAGCCAGGTTAGGGATCAGCAGAGATACCCTTGTTGAAGTCCTGATAAGGAACTGATTTGAAGAAATTCTGTGTGTATGTGTGTTGGGCTGGGAGAGTGCGCGCAAGGGGACTCTTTGGGTAGTTAAGAGGCAAAGTAGACAAAATAACAAGGAGAATGAAAAAAACGAAAAGAGGAGACAGTAGGAATATCCCCCAGGGCAGAGAACAAGCGCCGAGCCAATTCAAAAGGCAAGTAGACAAGCAGAGAAGATTCCAGGCAAAAATGGCAGAGAGCATCGACACCCAAAGGTCACAATATTTCTCACACCGACCCTTGCGAGTCTGTGTGATACTAGAAATCGGCAATCGGGCCCATGCATCTCATCGTCCTTCCTCCTTCGTGTCCAATCTATGTCCTTGCGCTAGGAGACCCGTCGCGCGCTCTCTTTCTCTCGGTTGTTCCATCCGTCCTGAGGACGCGTGTCCATCAACAAGGTCTTTTTAGGTGTTAATCATTTACTCGGCGGCAGGCTTCTCGGCCTCAGCGGCCGGGGCCTCCTCCTTCTTCTCAGCAGGGGCAGCGCTCTCGGAAGTGGGCTCGGCCTCGGACGAGGTCCAGAGGGTCTAGTGGGAAATTCAGGTCAGCGTATGTACAAATTGAATCATCGGCTGGTTTGAACACTTACAAGGTTGTCACGGAGGAGCTGCATGATGAGGGTAGAGTCCTTGTAGCTCTCCTCGCTCAGGGTGTCGAGCTCTGCAGACAAGTATTAGCTTTGGTCAATGCACGTGGCAAGATCTGCATTTTAACATACCAGCAATGGCATCATCAAAGGCAAGCTTGGCGAGGTGGCAAGCCTGGTCGGGGGAGTTCAGGATTTCGTAGTAGAACACTGAGAAGTTGAGGGCAAGTCCGAGACGAATGGGGTGAGTAGGGGCAAGGTCAGTGGAGGCGATCTCGGTGGCAGCCTTGTAGGCCTCCAGGGAGTAGTCGGCAGCACCCTTGCGGCGGTCGCCAATGGCGAACTCGGCAAGGTAGCGGTGGTAGTCACCCTTCATCTTGTGGTAGAAGACCTTGGACTCGCCGCTCTGGGCGGACTTGATGAGGTGCTCGTCCAGAACCTCGAGGATATCGTCGCAGATCTTGGCAAGCTCGGCCTCGATCTTTTGGCGGTACTCCTTGATGAGAGTGACCTGGGACTCATTGCCCTTGGACTCCTCCTTCTGCTCAATAGAGGTGACAATTCTCCACGAGGCACGGCGGGCACCAATGACGTTCTTATAGGCGACAGACAGGAGATTGCGCTCCTCAACAGTGAGCTCAACGTCGGCCGAGGCAACGACCTTCATGTTCTCGACCATCTCTGCGTCAAATTGTCAGAGATCAGTGCAACTAAACGACCTAAATTGAAGAGAAACCAACCTTCATAGCGCTCGGCCTGCTCAGCGAGCTTGGCGAGGTAAACAGCGTCTTCGTGACCCATGGTGAATGTGTGTTTTCTACAGTCAGAACTATGTTAGCCTTTGTTTTCTTCCTCACACGGATTTTCATTCTCGGTTTGATAATGTTGGAGGTGAGGGCTGAAAATCACGCCATCGGGACAATGCAAGTAGGCGATGACGAGGGGTAGATATCGGCCCTCGACCCCCCCTTCAAATATACGGGAAAGGGCCCAGTTGAGTTTCCATGAGTATCACACCGAACATCTTTGAATCGAAATATTGGGATCAAAAACTAAATATCCCAAAGATTTGGCCGATCATATGACGATCGTGGCGGTTACTGGGCCCTTGGTCATCCCGTGTGTCGTCGGGGGGTTATCGCAGGAAAGCGGTCGCGGCAATGGTTCAACGAGTAAACAAGGAGACGAGAACATATGGTTTCCACCGTAAACTATGGCGCGATTCCATGTTTTAATTTGAAGGGGGGGAATTGTAGTTTTTAGATGGTCTCTTTCCACCATGACTGTTGATATGTGTGGGTTTTGCGGTGAAGACGGGGGGGATGGGCATAGAAATAGGGCGAGGAGATGGCAAATTCAACTGGGACAAGAACAGGAAGACACTGACCTGGTTTATGAAAGAGGAAAAGAAGGTGAATAAGGAATAGCGAGATGGATGGAAGATGGAAGTGAAAGAGTAGGGAGTTGAAAGAGAGGAGGTAGGAGGAAAGGAGGGGGGCAGAAGGCGGTGTTGGGATTTACCTGAACAACCCACTTCTTTGGGCTTTGTGTTTTTTTGTGAAATATAAAAAAAAGGGTACTTGAGGTCACTTGAACTAGTTCTTTTTTTTCCCTCTAAATTATTTAATTTTATACACCCAAAGTGTGCAAGAATATATTACTTTCTACCCATATACTATACACAAATCTTCTCTCATCGCTTCTGTGTGGTTCGGTGGGCCTCCTACAGCGTCATCCCCCATTCCACATCCGCCAATCGCCCGGGGAGTTCCTTACTTGCGCCTCATTTGAGATCACAAAACCAAGGCAGACAGGATGGATTCGAAACAGTCTAGAACGAAGTGATATACGGCATAGAGGCCCTACCATCAGACTATCCGTATCGTAAAATAAGACAAAAAAGAGAGAGACAGAAAAAAAAAAGTCACCTGCAGTAAATTAATGATGTGACCATCCCTGTGATCCCTGTGATCCAAGTAGTTGAAGTACTCGTATACAAAAAAGCCCAAGTGGAAAGTCGAATGAGAAGGCCGCGACTTATCAGAAATTTTTGTTCACATGACCTAGACTCTCTGACATAAGCTTGTTACTCCCGAATACCATCACATGATGTTTCTTGGCACGTAACGTCATTTGCTATAAGCTTGCCTTGCTTAGTTCTCCTCGTACTTTGTCAACTTCGCCCTGAATCCATTTCACAATCCTCATTTTAACCCTTCTACCATCAAAATCATCAACATGCTTCGTCAATTTGTCCGTCCTGCCGCTACTGCCAACCGGGCAGTCTTCACCCGCTCCTTCTCGGTAGCTGTCCCTCGTATGGGTGAAGGTGACACCGGTGCTCCCCGCTCTGGGGGTGGTGCCTCTTCTGGGTAAGTGAGATGCATGTTGACTGCGAAACTTACCATTCGAGTTCAATTACAACGCACAATCCGCCTCATGTCTGCCTTGCCGCAGGTCGATGACATCATATGATTGCTAACACATGTCCATCTACCAGTGACGCATTCACTAAGCGTGAGGCTGCCCAAGAGAGCCTTTACATCCGTGAGAAGGAACTCGAGAAGTAAGTTTTGCCGAGCCGAGAACAATGCGGCTGCAGCGGGGAGCTAATTGGTTTGACAGGCTTGCTCAGCTAAAGAAGAAGATTGCCGAGCAGCGCAAGCACTTGGATGAGCTGGAGACCCACATGTAAGTGCAAGTCTGGAAATACTCTTCTGTTTATTTCCCTTTTCTGTTGAATGTAAATGGCATGACTGACTGACTTCTCTTTAGTGATGGCTTGAGCCGCTAATGAACTCCATGCGCCCATTTTATCTTATGTTTAATATGAAGAGCCCCTCCAATTGCTGTGTATAATACCATCTCCGCTCCAACGAGCTATTGTGCTTGCCTGCTGCCTTGAGATCGTGCCCTTTTCAGCGCCTGTTCCTAAACAAGACACCGCTCTATCATAGCATATGGAGTTTATCCTCTCTTGTGTGCATGGTGCTTGATAGCTCTCTTAGAAATATCATTGAGAAGGCTCGGCACCATCAGCTAGTGTTTATTTGTAGCATTAATATACTACCTGCGTATATTCGTGGTCTCT